GCATGCTGAGTCCTGTTTTAATGTGTACCCACAGCATCCAGCTCAGATTTATTTCATTTCTAATTATATGTATGGGGGTGTGTGCAAGTGAATGCTGGTGCTCACCAAGGCCAAGGGCATCAGATTCCCCGGGGCTGGAGTTATAGGTGGTTGTGAGCTGCCCTACACGGATGACAGGAAGTACGGGTCCCCTGCAACAGCAGTGTGCGCTCTTAACCACTGAGTCATCCCTGCGTCTCTCTTTTTAGATTCTAAGCATCGATTTATTATGAGAAAGCTAAGAAATAAATTGCCAATGCCCCTTTGAGGCAGGGTCTCATGGTGTGGCCAGAATGGGTCCTTGAAATCACCCACTCAGATGATATAACCACTTCAGCCTCCAAAGCGACTGGGACTAGACCACACAACAATGTCCAGCAGCACTAATATTTTTTTTAAAACAAGAACTGTGTAAATGCTTTGCCCATACCGCCTCATCCTCCTATAAAAACTCATTGAGGTAGATAGCGTTAGCTACCACCACTCCCCCCCCAGCATACAATAAACCAGAGGGGGAGATTAATCCTCCCAAGCTCACACAACCCTGCAGCACTGGGATCTGACGCAACACTAGTAGTTGGACATCAGAACACTTAACCCCGCGTCCCAACAGATCTCCAGGACATAGGTGTCTTTAGGTTTAAACATGATTTGTTATCCATGTTTGTGTCCCGTGGTCCCGGTCTCCAGTGCCAGTGTGGTCATCCTGAGGCCTGGAATCCTCTGAAGCTGTTAACAGGGTCTGGTGGGAGGAAGTTAGGCCATGAGGCAATGCCCTCACAAGGGACACATGCAGGTCTTGTGGGACTGGATTGTTAGGTCACTTGGCACCACCCCTGATCCCTTCCGTGGATGGTGTCTGTCCCCTTACACACTTAGACACCACTCACCATGCTGTGATGTAGCCAAAAGGCCCTACTTGTAACAAATGGGGCCACCCAGACTTGAATTTCCCAGGCTCCAAAACTATGAATTACAAACAAACTTTCTGAAAGGCTGCAGGGTCAGCTAAGGTCAGCCTAAGGCAAAGGTTCTCAACCTTCCTAGATGCTGTGACCCTTTACTACAGTTCCTTGTGTTGTGGTGACCCCACCCATAAAAATTATTTCATTGCTACTCCATGACTGTAATTTTGCTACTGTTGAGTTGTAAATATCTGGTATACAGGATATCTGGTATGTAATCCCCAAAGGGGTTGTGACTCACCGGTTGAGAACCACTGGATTAAGGCAAGTGGCTAGCCCAAATCCCATCTCAAAGCATTACCCTCCCTTTCCCAGCCTCTGAAACCCAGCAAGGCTTTTCCTGATTGTTTATTTTGAGCTGAAACCGTCTGAAAACCAGCCAGAGTTCTTGCCTTGGTAGCTGCCTAGAAGTCGAGTGTCTCTTCCACATGAAAAAAACCATGCCCAGTTCTTAAACTGAAATTCACATTTAAAACAAACAAAAACGGTTTAGGAGAATGCTTGCAGTGGCGCCCCGTGACACCCCGTGACTTGGGAAGTAGAAATAGGAGGATAAAGAATTCTAGTTCTCTTCAACTGTGTGCTGAGTGTATATATGGGTGTGAACGCAAGTGCACGCATGCTGCAGCACACCTGCTAACATCAGGGGCCACTCTCGGGAGTCAGTCCTTGCTGTCTACCTTCAAGTGGGATCTCTTCTTCCTGCTGCTCCTCCATGTGCCGATTAAGACATCACTGAAGCTGCACTTTGTTACATTAGCCATGTGTACTCCTAGCTCTGTGTCAACTTGACACAAGCTAGCGCCAGGAACCCAATTAAGAAAATGCTTCCCAGGACTGGAGATGGCTCAGAGGTTAAGACCACTGACTGTTCTTTGGGAGGCCCTGATCCTGAATTTAACTCCCAGCAACCACATGATGGCTCACACATCTGTAATGATATGGTGCCCTCTTCTGGTGTGCAGGCAGAACACTGTATGCATAAATCTTAAAAAAAATAAAATAAAATAAAATAAAAAAAGCTTCCAGGGCGATGCTGGCTCGACTTTAATCCCAGCACTCAGGAGGCCGGCAGCTCTGAGTTGGAGGCCAGCCTGGTCTACAGAGCAAGTTCCAGGACAACCAAGAGAGAAAGAGAAGCCGGACGGTGGTGGCGCACGCCTTTAATCCCAGCACTCAGGAGGCAGAGGCAGGCAGATCTCTGTGAGTTCGAGACCAGCCTGGTCTACAGAGCTAGTTCCAGGACAGGCTCCAAAACCACAGAGAAACCCTGTCTCGAAAAACCAAAAAAAAAAAGAAACAGTCCTGTAGGGAGTTTTCATAGTGTTGACCTGGAAAGGTCCAGCTCAGTATGGATGGTGCCATCCCTAGGCTGCTAGGCTGGTAGTCCTGGTTGCTGCAAGTCTGAAACTGGGCCATGGTAGTGTATGCCTTTAATTCAAGCACTCAGAAGGCAGAGGAAGGACGATCTGAGTTTGAGGTCTACACAGAGAAACCCTGTCTTGAGAAGACAAAAACAAAACAAAACAAAAACAGACCAAGGACGAAGACAAAGCCAGTAGGCAGCACTCCTCCATGGTCTCTGCATCAGCTCCTGACCTGCCTCTTTAGATAATGAACGTTAAAGTAAACCTAACAAACCCTTTCCTCCTTAAGGTGCTTTTGGCTATGGTGTTGATTACAGCAACAGAAATCCAAAATAAGAAACCATGTATAAGGCCGGGCGGTGGTGGCACACGCCTGTAATCCCAGCACTCGGGAGGCAGAGGCAGGTGGATCTCTGTGATTTAGAGACCAGCCTGGTCTACAGAGCTAGTTCCAGGACAGGCTCCAAAACCACAGAGAAACCCTGTCTCGAAAAACCAAAAAAAAAAAAAAAAAAAAAAAAAAAAAAAAAAAAAAAAAAAAAAAAAAAAAAAAAAAAAAAAAAAAAAAAAAAAAAAAAGGGAGAGAAAGACCATGTATAAAGTTTTATTAAGTCCTAAAATTGATTTTTAAAGGGTTGCAAATAAACTTAAACGAGATCACAGTAGACTTCCTGAGGCATCCTGGGCAGGCCCTCTCCTAGATTCTGGGATGTGGAGTTAGGATGTCCTGGGGTTGGGGAGGTAACTGAATGGTTCCTATCAGTACAAACTGCACCTCCAGAGTTTGAGTCTCAGGACCCATGCTGGCTGGCTCACAAGTGTAACTCCAGTTCCATGGCATCTGCCTCTAGTCTCCCCGAGTACCAACATACATGTGCCTAAAAAACACATGTGCTTAGTTGGGCAGTGGTGGTGCACGTCTTTAATCCCAGCACTTGGGAGGCTGGGGCAGGCATATGAGCCATTTCTCCAGTCCAAAATGGGTCTGGTGGGATACACTTGCAACCCAGCCAGTTGAAAAGCAGAACAATTGCACCTATTGTTTTTTCCCACCTGGAAAACCTTTCGGGTCCTGCTTCCTAAACCTATTCCCTCTCCATGTTGGACCCCAGAGCTTCAGAACCAAACAGGTTACGTCTCCCAGCTCTACAAAGGGACTCACTGGGTTTCTGATCTTTTTGGCAGGCAGCCTCAAATCCTCCCTGATCATCCAATCTCTGCCTCCCAAATGCTGGGATGACAGGGAAAACCATGGCACAATGCAGGCTGTCCTGGTCTACACAGTAAGTTCCAAACTAGCCAAAGCTATACAGTAAGGACCCTGTCTCGGGAAAAAACCACCCAGGGAAGGCAATGTTCCAGCAGAAGGGAGGTCAACAACTCCCAAGACTATAAGAATGAAGCGACACCCCCCTTAACTGACATTATAATCCCCGATATTATACAAGCCAGAAGTGTAGATCTGAGCAATATTATCCTGTCATGCTATGTACATCATCTGCCCTATGAAGACCCAGTGCCAAACACGTTAGGCAAGCATTCTATAACTGAGCTTTATCCTGGGTCTGAATTTTATCCCAACTACAAACATCCAAGAATTGCCTACAGAAGAGCAGCTTGTAACTTAAACAGTAAACCAAGGCTTGTGATTCAACATTTGTGTCTCAGGTTCTATTCCTAAGATTTAACTGTAGTCAGACAGCCTTGCTGCATGCTGTGCAGAAGATACTTTTAAGGCCATGTGTGGCAGGGCACTCTAGTCCCAGAGTTTAAAGACACTATGAGTGCAGCTACATTTGGTTCTTAGGGTAACAGGCTGGAACCTTCCTTACAGCTGCTCTAAATAGCAGCAGAAACAAGCCTGTGTGTTCAAGCACCCACCACTCAAACCTTAATAAGGAGGGTTCCAGTCTGTGGTTCCATAAAAGCAGCTGGGCTCTGAACACAGCTTACTCAGCAAGCCTTGGCAACCCTGTTGACTGACCTGTTCATGCCAAACAGATCTTTCACGGGAATAAAACGCTGAAGACAATCAGTGCAACTTATAACCCTACAATGAGTACAAGGCTAACATTCAGCAATGTGTATGTGGCTCTCCCTTGGCTTTTCTGCGTCCCTAAAGAACTTATAGCTGCCAGGGCCTATTTTAAAATGGAAATCCTAGTGGATAGGCTCTCCTGACCTTTCCAGATGCTGCCACCCAATCCTACTGGTAACCCTAGAAGCCAGGGCGCTCACCAAACACAATTTCTACTCAGACCCGCCCCCACAACTGTCCCAGTGTCACCTTTACAGAAGCAAATCATAAGAGATAATTGGCCACCTTGAACAGTATCTAAGAGCTGTTAACAGTGCAAGCGCTTCTAGGGCCTTGTCCATTTTCAAAATGGCTGCCACTAATCAGGTGCTCTGCACCTTGGCTTGAAAGGTGCCTTTCTGGAGACAGACCGACCCCAGGTGGCCAAGTTCTTTAGGTCATAACTTACCCAGGCTTTTTTCCACACGTAACCCATGCTTGCCTTAAACTCGAGATCCTATCCTGCCCCGAATCCTTAGGGACCTGCTACCATCCCTGGACCCTCAAGAAGCCACACCTGTAGCACAAGCACACAACCAACACCAGCCCATCTACAGATTCATCCTTTTATTAGCCATGGTATCAAAACGCCTAGTCAAAAAGACCAAAGCCCATGTCGTCATCAGACTCCTCGGATTCTTCCTTCTTTGCTTCCACTTTCTTCTCCTCAGCTGGGGCAGCAGCGGTGGAGGGGGCAGGACCGCCTGCTGGTGCGGCTCCGGCTGCTGCTGGAGCAGGCCCACCAGCCCCTACATTGCAGATGAGGCTCCCAATGTTGACATTGGCCAGGGCCTGTAACAGACAAGTAAGAGCTTTCAGTCTTATCCTTGAAGCTGCGATGACACATTTTGTTCAGCCTTTCCCGGACCAAGGCACAGGACTACAGTCAACACACACACAAAACTGATACCAAGTGTGTAAACTGGGCCTGTATTTGGTTGCTGTTTTATGGTGCGGATTTCCTCTCATGTCGGGAAAATTGCCCTAGGTAACATATCAGAGCAGTAATGGGCAGATTTTCAAAATTTTTGAACTCTTTGAACACAGCTCCACAGTTGGCTGACCTCCCCTTCCCAGAAATAAAACAATTTGTCCAGAGCGTAGCTTTCTGCTTAACAAGCATCTTGTTTCAAATGCCCAAACTTAAAAAGGCCACTAAATTCAATTTGTACAGAACAGAACTAGGACACTTAAAGGATTTGCTCGGATTGACATGGTTAAAGTTCTTAATCTGTTAGAAACCAGGGCCTGATACACAAAATTCAAGAGGAGCGGTGGCGATAGTATTAGCAGGACTTCCCCAAATCTTACCTTTGCAAACAAGCCAGGCCAGAAAGGCTCAACATTGACACCAGCTGCTTTAATGAGGGCATTGATCTTATCCTCCTGGAACACAAACGCAGCCCATCAGGGCGATCAGAATACGGTTAAGACCAAGTCACAGAAGTCGCTTTTATACGGCCACACTGCCAGTCTGAGCTTCTAAAGGCAGCTCATGAACGTTTATCATAAAAACATCGGCCAGGTTTGAAAACTCGGAGGCTAGTGCGATTGCCCCTTAGGCCTAATGACAGAGTCGGAATCCTAAAAGCCAGTGTTAAGACAACCCACTTACAACTATTTCTGACAACGACAGGCGCACTCGAGACCGCCTTTCACGGCTGCTGGAAGGCGCGGGTAAAACAGCGCATGCGCGCCAAAAGCCAGGAACCCTAGGAACCGAATATCCGAGAAGGCGACGGGACGGGCAGCCGACTGCCCGGTGCCCGCCCAACACACGTGGCCGCCCCGCAGTGACCCACGCCGCGCACTCACCGTGACCGTCACCTCATCGTCGTGGAGGATGAGGGCGGAGTAGATGCAGGCGAGCTCAGAGACGGAGGCCATGTTGCGGACTGCCGGCACGGTGCTAGTCGCCGGATGAAGTGAGGGCCTCACCCCAACGCGGCCTTAGCTTCCTCGGAAGGACCGAGCACCTTGGCGGCAGCAGAGGAAAAGGTCCCACACGCCTGCGCGCAGCCTCTTATCGGGGTCGCGTCGACCAATCAAATCCCGGCTCCGAGCGGAAGGGGCTGAGCCAAAAAATGAGAGGCGGTGTCTGCATGACGCAGATCCGGATTTGGGGGCTCGGCTTCCGGTTTTGCTGGCCTGTGGCGGCTTGCGAGTATCAGAAGTGCTGAACTACGGTTTAACAGCTAACCGGAAAGTTTTCTGGGGTGAGCGCCCCGGTCCGGTCCCCTGCTCGAACTTGCAGGAGCGTCCCCGTGGCTAGGGCACACTGAAAAAAGTGACTAGCTGACGATCACGTGGCTGGCCCTACCCTCACCTTGCACCCTCGCGCACGCGCTCTCCCAGCGCGTCTCATAAGTAGGTAAATACCATGAGTGTGTGTGTGGGGGGGGGGGGTCTCCGGAGTTGTATGTCAGCTGCAGTGTATCGAGGTTAAACAGGACAATTCATCCCAAGAAAACTCCAAAGTAATTCATTATATTAAGAAAGCACAGAGGGTGCTGGAGGTGCCTTGGAGGTTAAAGCCATTTTACTGCTCTTCTAGGTGACTCATGTTCGGTTCTGCCATCCCAGAACTCGAATTCCAGTTCCAGGAGATCGGATCCTGGCATACATAAACAGACACACTCACATACACATAAAAAGTCAACATTTTTAAAAGTATGCAAAAAAATCATAATGCAAGGTATGGTAGCCCCAAAAAAAGACAGGAAACCACGCGATTAAAATTTGACAACTTATTACATAGACCCTAGAAAACTAGGAGAGTAACTTTCATAATCCGACAAGGGTATTGAGCAGACATTAAAAGCAAATAGCTTGTTTTTGTTTTTTGTTGTTCTTGTTCGAAACAGGGTTTTTCTGTATAACAGTCCTAGTTAACCTGGAACTCTTTTACACCAGGCTGCCCTGGCACTCACAGAGATCTACCTGCTTCTTCCTCTCAAGAGTTCTGGGATTAAACGGTGCGGTGCCACCACCACCACCCGGCCCAAAGCAAATATCTTAATAGAAAATACTTTTAAGCATTCTTTGGAAATGGGGAACAAATATGAATGCCTTCCTTTGCTTCTTTTTCAGTGTATGGCGCTTTAGCACAGCAATAGAAATCCCAAGACTGCTCATGCGCACACACACACATCTTAAAACATTAAGGGGGCTGGAGAGATGGCTCAGAGGTTAAGAGCACTGCCTGCTCTTCCAAAGGTCCTGAGTTCAATTCCCAGCAACCACATGGTGGCTCACAACCATCTGTAATGGAGTCTTGTGCCCTCTTCTGGCCTGCAGGCATACTCTCACACAGAATACTGTATACTTAATAAATATTTTTAAAAAATTAAAATACACAAGTTGGGGTACAGCTCAGTTGCAGAGCTCTTGGAAGAGTCTGTGTAAAGGTTTCGGTGCTAAGGACTTGAAATCAGAGCCTCCTGCATACTAGGCAAGTGGTCTACCAAAAAGCCATACCTCCAACATACGATGTTGCTTTAAATTTCATGTAATTCCGATTTCAGCACCACAAACAAGCCATGAAAGTTATCAAGCGGAACCTAAGTGGAGCAATATAGTTTTCACAGTTAAGACCCTAAAATGGATAATTCCCCGCAAATTATATAGTTACAAATAAAATTATAATCATGATCTCAATGGGATTTGACAAGCAGGTCTCAAATCTTTAAAAGAAAAACACGGACAGTTCTTGACCTCAAACTTGCTGTGTAGCTGAGGATAACCTGTAGGATCTTCCTGCCCCCACCTGGGACTGATTTTAAGTTTGTACCACTACAGCCAGTTCGAGGGAGCAAACCCAGTGCCTGTTGTACCCTCTGCAAGCACTCTACCCACTCAGCTACATCTCAGCCCCTTACTATACAACCCAGTCTGGCCTTGTTTCAACCTGCTGAGAGGTGGGATTAGAGGCTTACACCACCACACCTGGCCCTCGAGGAATTTCTAAGTGTCACTGACAATGCAAATCGATGCTTGGACTGGCAGAGAAGTCAGTAGGCACACTTACACTAGTGCTGTTGGTGGAAAGTAGAGATCCAAGGAGCGTGGGTAGGTGCTTCAAAACAAAGCTCTACCAAAGGATGAGAGGGGCTCTGGTGGCAGAATGTACTCCTTGCAAGTTAAAGACATGGAATCAACCCCTGGCATCATAAAGGTGCCATTAAAAAGTCATGGGCAGGAAGATCCAAAGCTTCAAGTTGCAAAGGATACATAAAAATCCTACACACCCAGAAACTTACTATGTAGTTTTATTGCAAAGGTTCTTGCATTTGAGAAACCAAACTCACAATTGGGAAAGACTTATTAAACCAATGAGATCCTATTTCATGCCTATCAGTTCTGAGAGTTGCAGGTGAGAATGATACACTGGCAAAGGAACAAATTTAGGCAAACCTGGTTAAAGCTGGGTGTGCGCACAGCCTACAACTAGCACTTGTAGCCATTGTCTCTGCCCTCAACACTCGAGTATATGCATGAGGAGCCAATTGCAACATTATTCTCTTCAGTGTAAGGAAAACTGCACCCTTGAGGGAATAGGGAGGACATCATAGAGCATCTTGAGCTGTGTCAATCAACCCGGGTAGTCTCAGAACTGAGTGATGAAGCACACTGAAAAATCCTGCTAAACCTGGCTTCCATCTGAGGCTTTGACTTGAGCACCTTCCTTCTGAGGAATGCTGGAGTCGTAGAGTATAATCAAAGTTGATTTCCAACCACATTAGCCATTAGTAGCTAAGAAGTGTTCAGCAAAGAATGCATTAGGATAGGACAAAGAGCACAGTAGTTTTGATGTCGGACTTTGATGTTGGACTTAATAAGCAGACTTTGGGGGTGGGGGGGCATGAGCAATATCTTAGCCTGTTTCATACCCCATAAAGGCAACATTTATTCACAGCCAAGTTTCTATTCTCTAGTGCTCTTTTCTTGTATCCCACTAATACTAAGTACCAGATAAACAGAACACTGCAGGTGCTTGGGAGCAGGCTGAGAGAATGTCCACTACACAGCTTTGTGTTTCTTAGTGCTTTTTTATTGTATTTCATTTGCATATATAAAAACAGAAAGTGAATATATACATACAGGATTCTAAAACCTTCCTAAAATGGATTGTTATCATTGGCCAGTTACCATCTTTATTTTAAAAGTCTTAATTGTTAAATATGTCTAAAGTGCATTTTTTTTGTGGCTAATCAATAGCAGCATTTTTGTTTTTTTTTTATAAAACCTTAGAAAATATTCAGAACAGTTGAAAAAGTCACAAAAAATACAATATGATCTAGATACATTCTTCTGCAGGATGACTGTGACACCGTGCATGGCATAGCTTTGGAGAAATCACCAACACAAACAAAAGTATTCTTCTGTTACCAGAGCTGTCAGGTCAAGGCTTCTTGCGCCTAAAACACAAAAGCAGCATTTAATATTAAATTCTGCACTTAGCGACATAGTCTTTGGGAACATTGAGAAAATTCCTTTTATCAGAAGAAATTCAAGTCCTTGGAGCAAGCAAGCAACTTAGAGAACAGAACAGGAGGTAGCTCCCCTGTTCTTAACCTACAACAGTCATCTTCCAAATTGTCAAAGGAACTAACCCAAGTTAAAAATGTAGAGAGAGATGTATAAAGATTGGCTTTATGAAATATGGAAAAAATAGGCCAGCTCCCTCCCCATTGTGGACTTAACCAAAGAGCAAATGGTGTGTGTGCTTCCTTCAACACCAATTTTGGCATTCATCTTAACCTATCTATAGAGCATGTACCCCTATTCCAAAACCATGAGGTCTGTTAGGTAAGAGTGACACACAATGCTGTCATCCCCAGTGTCCGAGTCATCTTGCAGAAGTGCAAAGAAATCAGAGACCTCAGCTGAGAACAAAGCCTTGTCTAAGATTCCAAAGACAGCTAGTAGTCAACTTTTTTGTGCATTACATGTGTTGTCATTTTGATAAAGACACACCCCTCCAGGTGCTTTCAGTTCAGCCTCAAAAAGATTTAGAAGTGGCCAAGTATGAGCAAAAGCCATCAATCTGCTGACACCTCCTCCAGTAGAGCTACAGCACTCTGGAGAGCCGGCCATAAATTGTCAGCAGGGCCCAGGTAAAAGCTGGAGGAGCAGAGGTGATAGAAAGCCTGGGAGAGGGAGGACACAGTAGGGCTGGCTGTAGTGCTCACTTGGGTTGTGCATGGTGCTGATATCCGGGTCCCAGCTGAGATCCTGCTCTCATCTCAACAGCGACGGAACACTAGAGACAGATGACAGAAGAGGAAACGGTCAGCTTCCAACGGTCCAGAAGCACACATCCACATTTAGATGAAATTCTACTGCGATGAAATCCAACACTGCTCTAGGTCAGCGAAGACACCTAGATTAAACCACTAGTCACACACTTAGGATCCACTTCTGCGCAGGCAACAAAAGCAAGAAGGACCTGGGAGAGTACCCAGGTATCTTTTTAGATAAGGAAGGAGAGGAGTCCTGAAGAAGCTGGTTCTTTCCCTAGGAGTCTTTCCTCATTGGTAATAGTCACAGGGAGCACTGGGTGCTGCTGCGGATTTGTCCATCTGCTATGATTTTCGTTACTCTGGAGCAGCACACTCTTGACTCCCATATACATCAGCACACATACACACAGAGGACCTCTGGTAAAGACCAGATCTAAAGAAATGCAAGTGCCCCACCAGAACGTTAGTTATAGGCTTCCAGGCTGCACAGGCAATATGCGGTCCTGCCTCAGCAACTTCAGCGAACACTAAATTCTATAGTGTTACAGCTAATTTTAGCAAGCAAGTATTTAATTTCACCCCTACCCTTGTTTCTACATCGGTCCATTCAGACTCTGTACCATCTGGTTGGGCAGGTGCTATTGTAGACGATCTTCGCTTTCGACTACTGAAAAAGGGGAAACATGATGCAACAATCATTTTTGCATCTAAGAAGAATGGAAAACATTAGAGGGGGGAGAAACCAACTATACCCCTGGGAGAATTAAT